CCAGTGGGTTCAGTGCTGCTTTAGAGGTTAAAACTAGGATTTCTTCCTAAATAATTAGTGTCCTTGCCCCTGCATGTGATGACTAGAGAGGTTTTCATGGAATCATAGTATATTAAAGGGTTGGAATGGAGCTTAGAGATCATCCAGCTCCAACTCCCTGCCCTGGACTGAGTCCCTGATACCTAGTGAAAGTCCAAACTAGTTGAAAATTCTCCTTCTCACGTGGGTTCTGCAGTATCTAGGAACTCAGGAGCTCATCTTGACACCTCCTAACACATCTCTGTTTCCATGAAACTCTGTGAATTTGGCTAAGTGCAACAGAGGAAATTTAAGCTGAAATTAACTACTCCAAATATTATTATATATACAGATAACAAAGCCACCAAACCCACAGGTAAAGGGAGAAAAAAGCATATCTGTATTTTTAAGTCAGGAAAAAATGAGGCACTTGTGAAATCAGGATTTTTAGCATCTTTTCATAGTAGTTTCATAGTATGTTCAGGGGTTGGAATGGAGCTTAGAGGCCTCTTTAATAGAACATTTGTGTTTCATCATTGAGCAGATAACAAATAGCTCTGAAGCAGCTGAAATGGTGTGAGAGTGAACTCACTTTCTGTTGCACATAAGCAAGGAACAGAGCCTGGAGCTTAGGGTGCTGATAAGAACCACCATGGGGTAAAAGTTGTCACTTAATTTTCATTAAAATACTTGTTAGTAGTGTTAGGATTTTTTCATGCAGCTCTAAAGTTCAAATGCATTAGATAAAAAATGTTGTATAATTCATTTTAAGCATCTTTCCCTGGATTGCTTTTTTTTTTTTTTTTCTCCCTAGCCTTTTCTGCTTGAAATCACTTGATTGCTGCTGCATCTGGTGACTGTACAGGGTTCAGGCAGGGTTAGATTGGCCTGAGATGACTTCTGGTGTCTTTGCCTTGGGATTCAGGTTGTCTGTCTTGCACAGAGTCATTCTGGACTGGCCAAAATGTTAAAATGGGAGGACTGGAAGCTAAAGAGGCAGTGCAAGTAGAGCAGCTAAATAAACCTCTCCTCATTCTGCATGTTTGTTGTTTGAATCCAAGTGGATTTCCCAGACTTCTGAGATGAAAACAGAGCTTTTAGGAGCAGAGGGAA